CATGAAAGAATAATGCAGAGATTGTACATATATATAATAGATGCATATAACGTAATATATACATATATACATATCTATATTTGCTTTAATTAGTAGCCTCACATTCTTCAGAGATCATTTTTAATGTCCAGATGATTCATCTTTTAAAGTAAAAAGAGTATCTGTAGTATGACATTCTCGTCTCTCCTTCACTACCATTGGTAAAAACTTTCCAAAACATGCCTATAAACGGGCAAGCGGAAGTGACTGTAATGGAACTGTGCTATCAGAGTTATTATTCAAAACGGAATTAGTAGCCTCACATTCTTCAGAGATCATTTTTAATGTCCAGATGATTCATCTTTTAAAGTAAAAAGAGTATCTGTAGTATGACATTCTCGTCTCTCCTTCACTACCATTGGTAAAAACTTTCCAAAACATGCCTATAAACGGGCAAGCGGAAGTGACTGTAATGGAACTGTGCTATCAGAGTTATTATTCAAAACGGGTTATTTTAGAAGTTGAACTGGTGACAGCCAGAGAGGCACCTGTGGCAAGCTGCAAATATAGTCAACGGAAATGTGGTCGGTCTGGGAAGCTGTTCAGCTTAACAACAGTAGGTGTCTTCTTTGGGGTGAAATGAGTGTCTCTCAGTTCCACCGATTTTTATGATGAGGAGCATGGCTCAGTTGCCTAAACAAACACATCTAGTGTGATTTTAGGTGTTGTGGGGTATCCTACATGGCTGTGAGTTGGGGTCCAGAATGATGCAGGCCTCCATAAGCCCCATGTAAGGATGTCTCAGATTCCTAGGATGTCCGAGTGGCGCTTATCAAAGGAGTTCCACCAAAGATCTCTGTTAACTACAATGGCAACTTAGATTCCATCTCCCTTGTAGACTCCTGCATTTAGATATCTTCATTTAGGTTAATGGGAAACATTGCCTTTATGATAGAATCCAAATCTGATATGTAAGTTCACTGTAAGCGGAACCTGTAGTTCAGGTTCTAGTACAGTAGAAGCTCATCCATTATGCAGCTGTAAAAGAGCTGTGATTTTTGTAGGCAGAGGATTTGTACATAAGTCTTGCAAGTTCTATAAGGCTACTGTAGGATCTTGGTGTACAGGTTCTGAAATGCTGTAACTATGTTGATACGGATGACACCACACTGATTGTGCTCTGCTTTTCTATTTAAGTATGCTAAATATGTGTCCACCTGATTCTGCTTACCACATGATAGGCAAATTCTAGAATGCTGACAGTAATTTTGTACTTTGTTAAAATGTTGTTTTATTCTTAGAATAATGCTATTCGAAGTCCCACTGATCAATGCGGGCTCTATAAAGAAGCAGAAAAAAGGTCTTTTTTAATGTTATTCTATGACAACTTTCCTAGCCATTTGCAGCATTTAGTTCTGATGAGCTTTTCACCAAATTTACAAAAAAAAAGTGTTCTTCCTTCCTATGGTTTTTAATTTAGCACTAGACTGTGCTTCTAGGAAGTATTTCTAAACAGCAAGTTCTGGTTTTCTCGGTTACTTTCAGTAGATTTAGCTGCCAGCTTAATGAGAATTAGAGTGCTGTTCCTCATTAGACACCTTCTTATCTGTGCAGGAGAAATGGTTTTGAAAGAAAATAAGCTTTGCATTTCTTAAATTATGTTTTGAATAGTTAGATGAGGAGGAAAACAGTTGTCAGTGGATAGAAAGCTGGAGATCAAGTGTGCCTAGAGATGAGGCTAGAAGTATAGGTCATTTCTGAGATTGGAGTATGTAACTGAAAAGGTGAGGATTGGAAGAAGAGCTTTTTTCGTATCAGTTCGACTTTGGGACTGATTTTCATGTGAATATGTCATGACTCTCTACTACGTAATTAAGAGAAGTTCCTCCCTCAGAACTCAAATCCTAACTACTTTTCTTGCCCACACTATGTGGAACGTCAGTATTTTTGTTGTTAACTGCTTGAGCAGTATCTCCTTATCAGCAGAGCTAGAGATACTTAGATGTGCTTATAAAGTGGGATAAACATTTTCAGTAGTTCAAAGCTGGCCTAAACTCTTCTTTCACATGTAGCTGTCTACACATTTTCCTGTGTTTTGTAGACGCATGTTACATAGTGCATACGTGCCCTACTAATCTTAAATTTCTTCCAGCATGAAATGGCTAGGCTGAATCCCTTCCATAGGCCATAACTATGCTAAACATCTGCGAAGACTGTTTTAATTTTGAAGGAACCAAAACCAGAAAATTCTGGCTTTCTCACAGATGTCTAAGTAATTCCATGTCAATCTGATACTCCTCTGGAAGACTGAATGTCAGTATTTTATCCACTGGAGGGGTTTTTTACATTTTTTACAAAGACAAAATCCTGTGTGCCTGTTACCTCTAAACACTTCTGTACTGACTGTTGCAGTGTACGCATAGTGGTACCATTCAAGGCTACAGATAAACTATACCGATGATAAAGAACACCACTTCCAAAGGAGTTTAGATGAAAACATTTTCAGTTTTTATTGTGCATTAGTCCTCAGATATACTGATATGGAAGAAGCAACCTTTTCTCAGCTCCTAGAAAGGTGGAAGAATTATTAGCTTTTGCTTTCCATCATAGATGCTGGAATATATTACAGAAGAGTCAAGCTTGTAAAGAGTTTGTCATCTTTAGCTTCATAATCAATCTTCTCAGTAAAACAAATAAAAAAACCAATCAAGAACATTTCAAAAAAAGATCACAGCCTTCTGAAACCTGCCGTCATTTTCCTCCTACCTGTTTACCTGTTGGAAATGCCAGGAGACAGGATTCTTACAGTGGTTGTGCTTGTTCTCAGAATGACTTTCCACTGTGCGGAGCCCCCAGGACACGACAGCGGGATCACCACTGGGAATCTTTTGCACTGCTGCCGGGAACCTGCACAATCGTGTGCCAGGGCACACGACCAGGTGGTAATAGGAAACGGTGTGCTCTACCCTTAAACGGTATTGTGTGTGTTGGCACTGCTGCTCCGTCTGCTTGCTGCATGGGAAGAAATGATCCCACCGAAATATTTTGCGCTTAGTTTTCTTTTGTTAAAGTTGAAAGCAGATTGCCTTTTTCACTGTTTGCAGTGAAATTCACAGTTACAGAGCCAGACTGGAAAGGTGACTGGAAGAAGCCTCAGTTTAGGAGGTACTGGAAGATACCTGTTAGAAGGTCCTTCCCCCAGTCGCATGAGCTGAAGTGTTCATCTGTTGCAAAATGCCGGTTGTTTGGCTCACCATTGTGCTATGCTACAAAAGGGACTTTCTGCCAATGGCACGTGGTGATTTCTGCTTTTATTTCATTCCTAACATTTCTAGAGCTGGAATATGTAGCTGGCAATATAACGTACTACCAGGGTACCTTCAGTTTCCCAGGTGCTCTCTGTAGCGTCCGCGTGTGGTTAATGTGTAGCCTGAACTCCATGCTGGATTCATCTTCACTGCTAGCCCGTTTCACAGCAGTTCTCAGAACATGGTGCATGCTGCACGGATACTAGACACCGTGGAGAACTCCCTCTAATTCTGCTGCACGTGCTGGTGTGCACAGTGAGGCTTTTTATCCTAAGTTTAAAAACTTGGTCTCTGAAGCTGCGAAGGGTGCCGGACAAGCCTGTGGGCAATGGGACAAAAGAGAACAATGGCAGTGGTACAAGCTGAATGTCTGTGGTATCATTGTGACTCTTAATTACAGGTGTGCTGTTGTGCTTAAAGTGGCGGAATGCTTCTAAGTAAGGTCCAAAAATACTTTGCTACACAGTTAACTCACCCAGAAGAGCACAGGCCAGGAAACAACTAACCTATTAAGCTTTTGCATACCTCTAACATTCTTGGCTAAACAGCCTTGTGTTCCAACCTCTAGAAACATTAGCTAATGGTCTCCTCCCGACTAGCGAGTTACCTTCTGATGAGCATGAAAACAGTCATTGTGGGGACAAGAAGCAAAAATTCAGAAAAGTAAGAGGGAGTAAGGAACATATTGACAAAAGGAAGGAGGCAGCATTTGGACCCGAGTATACCAAGGTGTTCAGAACTAAGACCCGTTCCTCTAACACACTTTCAAAAGAGCATGCAGATGGTTCACGCCGGTTCCCATCATGACCTAGGCTGCAGTGGAACAGAGGTGTTTTGTTGTTCACGTTTCTTTAACATAAAATACTGGTGCAATAGCTATATTTCAATCAATTATAGAAGAAAAACATCAGAATGCAAACATGTAATAGTACGTCTGGGCACTCTGATGCAATGATAAGGGTTCGCTTGATTTGACATCAGAAGTCCATCTTGGACTTGGTTTAGGCCCTTATATTTCTGCAATGGGAGGGAGAATGTTTCTGTTTAGAATATTGTATTTCAAGCTGTTGTAAATACATAAATGGCATAGTAATGGCAATCTGATTGAATGGAGTAATAAGGATATAATTGGTTCTTTATTCTACACATTTTTACAAAAGTAGCATTTGCACTTTTTAAAATTTATTTTATAATACTCCTGGCTATTTTATTTTACCATATTGAAGTTTTATCCCAGGCTGAAACCAACTTAAATTCAAATTATAGTGTCTATATTGAATCAGAACCTTGTATCTGGTATTGTTTTATGAATTTTCTTGGGAAATAGATTTTAATGATTTTTTTTCAGTGTTGGAATTACTACTGCTTGTGTTAGTTATGCGTATTTCTAACATTTGAAATAAGTATTTTGTTTCCAAAACCCATTTGTTTTCATTGCTTTTCCATTAAGGAGACACATTAACAAAACATAAAAGTCAGCTGCACTCCTAATGTTCACTGGAGGTCTGTTTTTTTAAAATCTATTAAAATTAGCAAACCTCGAATGAGGGCTGCTGTCTTTGTCCTTACTCTCTCTACTCCTTGGAACATTTTCTTTTGAGTTTTCTTGTTCTTAGTCAAATTGTGATGTATGATGAACTGGTGTAGGATGAGGACCACGATATCATTGTGCAGCATGAGTTTCAAAATTATGTTTTGGCCCTTTTGTCAAAGGAACAAAACTTGTCTGGAGATGAAGAGACAGATGATGATGATGATGATGATGATGATGATGATGATGATGATGATGAGGGTGAAGAAACAGAAGAAGAAGAAGCAGAAGCAGAAGAAGAAGCAGAAGGAGAAGAAGCAGGAGGAGGAGGGGAAGGAACAGAGAAAAAAGAGGAAATAGAGGAAAAATATGAAAAAGAGAAACATAGTAAAACACCTGAGAGAGAGAAGAGCAGTAATAGCACAGTGGAAACTGTAGAGGTAAAAGCATTTACTCCTCTGAAGTTATTGGCCTCTGAAAGAATTGATGATGATGGATGATGATGATGATGATGATGATGAGGGTGAAGAAACAGAAGAAGAAGAAGCAGAAGAAAAAGAAGAAGCAGAAGGAGAAGAAGCAGGAGGAGGAGGGGAAGGAACAGAGAAAAAAGAGGAAATAGAGGAAAAATATGAAAAAGAGAAACATAGTAAAACACCTGAGAGAGAGAAGAGCAGTAATAGCACAGTGGAAACTGTAGAGGTAAAAGCATTTACTCCTCTGAAGTTATTGGCCTCTGAAAGAATTTGGTTCTATAACTTACATTAGTTTGAATATATGTGTAGCTATCTTGGAAACGCAAAGTTGTTGTTTGGGGTGGTTTTGGTAGAGGGAGGAACAAATATGTAGGTGTTAATAGTTAAAACAAGTTTGAACGTAGAGATTTCATTGTTTTGTCTCTCTATAGACAGAAGAGACTACTCAGAAAGAGACCATCACTCAGCAGGGTAAGAACACAATTCCTAAGAACTGGACCATTACGGACATTCTAAAAAAAAATAAAACATTTCAAAAGATAAAACTTTTCTAAACAATCTCAGTTATAAAAATACTGAACAATACAGTTATTGTCAGTAGTTGGTACAGCAGTTCTTGAGAGGTGACGAAATTTGAGAGGCAACAAACCATTACTAATTGTTAATGGTTCGAAAGAAAAAAATACTTTTCCCCGTTATGTATTGGAGGGAAGTCCACGAGAAGGACTTTCTCTTAGCAGGACTATTTCTTACTTGCTAAGAGCAGTTCTAGTTGTGCGGTGACAAAGTAATGGTACTTGTATTGTCTCTCAAGCAACCTCTTTAGGCACCGTGTTTCTTCACTTCAGCAGAGAAGCTTGTCAAAAGTCTTTCTCATCTCTGTCAACTGACATTTCCTCGTTACGTTCACCAACAGGTTATTTTAGGTGAGAAGTGGTGATTACTGAACACTGTTCAGAGATGCTGCAGATGTAAGGCTAGGTGTTGCTTGTAGTTTTGATGACAGTTCGAGTGAACTGGATATTCCTTTAGAAAAGCTGGGGAGCGTGAAGTGGGGTGCCCTATATGCAAGACAAGTCAAAAATACTTCTTTTATTTTTGGAAATTCTGGAATATCTGTAATTGTTCTTTTGAAAGAAAATAACAAATGTGGTATAAAAAAGACCACTGCCTTAATAGTGAAGAAGCTACGCCGTTTATTTTCAATATTATAATGGAAATAGCTTGTCCTGAATGGATGCTTAAATATTTTTCCATCATCCAGTGATCTGGAAGTTTTGATATTAAGTTCTAAATTTATATCATTCGTACAGGGAGTATAGGAAAATTTAAACACAGAAACATCAACTCAGATGGAAAGTTTTTACTTTCCCAGAATTGTTTCTATGGAATAAAATTCATGCTGAACCATAACTCCTGCCCTAAAAGTCAGCTTTTCCAAATTAGAATATAGTTTCAAAATCAGTGTGCAAGACATTGTCTTCTGTCAGCAAGAGGAAACTATGAGTGTCAAGTCAAAACATTTTATATAATGTCACTGCCGCAAGTGTTCTGTTCTTGAAAATCGAGCATCTGGAGAATAATATAAGGGCATTATGTAGAGAGATTAAAAAAATAAAAACATTCTTGTCAGGCTGGGCATCGAGTTGAACTGAATATTCCGATTGTGCAAGACATTGTCTTCTGTCAGCAAGAGGAAACTATGAGTGTCAAGTCAAAACATTTTATATAATGTCACTGCCGCAAGTGTTCTGTTCTTGAAAATCGAGCATCTGGAGAATAATATAAGGGCATTATGTAGAGAGATTAAAAAAATAAAAACATTCTTGTCAGGCTGGGCATCGAGTTGAACTGAATATTCCGATTACTTTTTTTTAAGATCGACATTTTATTTAGTGACTTTTCCTTCAAAAATGATTTGAAGAACAGTTTTTTCTGCCCTTAATTTGCAAGAATCAGAAGGAAGTTAATATAAAGGTTTATATTATTGCAGAGAAAGAAAGCTCTGACAATCACACTGTGAACAATTCTTCAGAGAACTCTGATGACCAAATAACTGGAGGAATCATTGGGAGAAAAAAGGTACGTGGCCCGGTTCTTCCTTCTAGTTTTCCAGTGACCAAGAAGGCAGTGGGCGGTTACCAAGCTGAAGCAAATACCCCAATTTACCTGATCTGCATAAACAATTAAACTGCTGAGCAACCTGTTCCTTCTGTTTAAGATTTGATTTTATTTTGTGATAAAATAAAGTTGTCCAAATAATTGCTCTATTAAATCATAGTACTGCTGTCAGTAGAAATGAGGTAAAGCCCATTATCACCTGTTCATGTATAGCGTGCCCATAAAAGACAGGTTGTTAATCACATCAGATTTTGGTGAGGTGAAAACTTAGGACTTGATGTTATCTAAAAAAATTTTCCACCATATTTCTCTCTGAAAGCAGCAGCTGAGCTAGTTGACCTTCTATCTATTTCCAACATGCACTGATTTAAAGAGTGTGGGTTTTTTAATATATATATATATATATATGCATGTTGAGGAGTACCTTCTATGGAATTTCTTACAGGTTTAGGATCCAAAGGCTTCTGCAGAGACTGGCTGCTGTGTTTCCTGTTGAACAAAGACCTTAAGCGCCAATTAACTTCAAGCACGTGTGTAGTCTCACTGACATAAAAACACATTGTCATTAACTTTAATGGGACTACACACATGTTTATAATGAAGCATATTAAGCATTTACCGCTCTGGGGCTTTGCAGGTCAGAGCCTGTATTTTTGGACCTTGCCTCAGACCCTTGATCGAAAGAAATGCAGATAATTTTGCACCGCTTGCAGTATTTTGTGCAAACTGTACAGTGTGTAATTTGACAAAATGCAGTCATTTTAACTTCTCTGATTCATTTGTGCTATTTTGACACATTTCAAACATTTCAGCAGAATGTTTTTCTTTAACATTTTTAAATAGTCATTTTGTTTTGAAAAATGATTTATTTTAACAAGGAGAAATTTGCGACCTAAATTGACCTTGGTATATACAAAAGGCTTTGTGGTTTTTTTAACCTTGAATTTCAGAGCTAACTGTTTTGGACATATTATTTACCTGTTTTTACTTCAGTTTTCCCTGTTTAAGCGAAAGCCACCGACAGGCCAGAAGAATGTATGTAGCGGAAAGGAAGATAGATCTGGAAAGCCATTACAGAGTGAACAAGAAAAGGAAAAGGAAGATTTATCTGGTGAAGACAGTAAAGATGAAAACCAGAATCATACATTGGAGAATTCCAGGGAAACTGTGACTAACCAGGACAGAAGGATGAAATCTGCTACTTGTATATTACTCTAACACTGTTATAGTACGTAAGAATGTGATAGTCTTAAAGCACATAGTGCAGATTTTACTTGAAGACAGTTATGACTCACTAGAGATGTTGATGGTTGCTTTTTTGATTGATTTGATTGCTGTGATTTTAAACGTGCAGACCATTTTCTTGATATTTATTGGTAATTTTAATAGTTGCAATTGATACGCTTATCAGCATCTTGCTGGCGTTCTGTGGCCTTAACTGTTAGTGTTGTAAAACAAAATATATTTTTTTATGTGAAAAGTTGAATACAGGCATTTCATGGTTTTTGCTAAATCATTTTATTCTGTTTCAGTCTACAGAGTACCACTTTCAGTATGGGACTCTTGCAAAATGGTAATATTTGATGTAAGATACTGTTTGGTTTAACAAACTAGGTCAGAATATCGAAGTTCACATTTTAAAGAGGGTACTCAGTTACTTAGAAATACATATGCCTTCTCCTGTTTTGACTTAGAAAAATAGCAATAAAACTTCCAAGTTAACATGTAGGCCATTATTGAGGAAGTTGCTGAAGTACGTGCCTAATTCCATCTGTGGCAGTAGTTCCACTGGAAACAGTACCTAAGAGTAGCGTGAGTCGGTTAGTAAGTATCCTGCCAAACTGGGACTTGGAGGAACCTTTCGTTTCTGAGGGATGCTGAACGCCGTCGCTCCTTCACTCCCCACAGAATCAGGCCCAACGAAAACTGGACGGCCTCGCTGTTGGTTCAGTTGGATTCTAATCCTGTCTTCTGTGAACATGCATACCGTAATGAGTCCCTGGTGAAGCTTTTCTAGAGGAAAACAACGTAACCAGAGTTACTGTGGAATACGTTGGTATGGCAAACAGATCATTATGGGCTAAATATTCATGTTTTTCTCAGGCAAGCTGGCTTTTCTTCAGATGGAGGCTGAGCAGCAGGAGTAACGAATCCCGTTACTGGTCCGGATGAGCAGAATGTTTGGGGTTTTAATTAGTCCAAGAAGCAGAAGCGACAAACCGACTATTCTAATTACCAGCATTCCCTCTAAATGAAATTTGATTTCTGAAAATTTAGTCCAGGTGAATCAGAACTATAACCCTTATCATGATGAATCTGATCCAGGGTCCGCGTTTGCCCCTTACTAAAATATGCTTAGTTTTTTATGAATATACACAAGCTCTAGCGTAAATATAAAATAAAGAATTATTTCTAAACTGAGTACTTTTCAGAATACCTTACAAGGGGCAGGTGATCTTTGTAGAAAACCTAGGAAAATGTTATTTAATTTGACTGACATATGAACATATTTTAATAAGCCTTTGGCCATGTTTCGCCTTTGGATTATCAGTTTTTCCTAGTTTCAGGGTTGCTTAAATTTTATATACATAGTCAGAAGTGTCTGGAGTTGGTTTTGACCTCGAAGCTGACTCGGCTGAACGCTTTGTCCCTGTAAGTATGGCAGGTGCCCAGATTCTTTCACGGGGCCTCCTCTGTGCTACAGTAAGCATCATAGTAAAAACCTGGATGCTTTGGTCATCCTTTGCAGGAGTTAATTAAGATCCTCTTGTTTCTGTTATTTTTCTTTGGGCTACCCTTGAGTTCTGCAGTGAACCTTACATCAGCTATTTTTTTTTCTGCCGATGTGCATTACATTTGCATATTTTCTTGTTTTCCTGAATGCACATGTGGTTTCTGTTCTACTTGGATACTGTTGTGAATAGTAAAGAAGTGGAAACGGAAAAATAAAGTAAATAGTGTCCTCATTAATTTAAATAAGCTTTAATTATTTTTTTAAGGGGAGATCAATCACAGAAATTGTTACCGTAAGGACAATTTCTGTTTTTAAAATGTGAACTAATTTAGTGAAAAATATTACTTTAAAGTGGGAATTACCCTTAAATCTAATGCGACAGAAGTTTATGTAATGGATTCTAAATTGCTGTACATCAAAGCAGTTTCAGGGACTTGCACGTTTATCTGGTCCATACACTTCGCTTAAGAAGGAGCAGGAGCAAATTAATCCGCTCTGATGTCTTTTTTACATGTCTTCCTCGGTAATAAAAAAGATTAAACAAATAAAACAGGTTACATGTACATGTGTATTAATTTAAAGGGTTTTTTTTAACAAGTTCACAATCCTTATGATAAAAATGTAAGGGGGTTTTATTACTGAAAGGCTTTCATCAACTGATGAGTAGCAAAAAGTTGCAGAAACATTTATAGTACGTTTTTCTCTGTTTTCTTCTTACTTTCCCAAAGACAGCTGTATCAACTGAAATCTTTATTTCTCGATTTCACAGCCCTGTCATACAACTGCGATTGTGCTTTAGAATCGCCGGTTTTCTAAAATTTCACCATCGAGCCTGCCACTAGGTGGAGTTTGTGCTCTTCGGAGATGGAACTGTCTCATCCCGCCCAGCCTCCCGAGCCAGAAATTTTCCTTCCCCTGGCCCCTGAAAAGCAGTTAAAGATACTCACTCTGTATCAGATTTTCTGATTCAAAATTCTCCGAAAACTTCATGTTTTCTGGCATATCGCTTTTGGCTTTAAAATACTCTGGTACCTTGACACGTTTATATAGTGTATTTTTAAAGTTAGAGAGAGAGTATGTGTATTTGTACAAACACAAAAACGGAAAAATAAAATCACTTACGTATTTCTCAATGCATACATAGATGTTCAGTGGTCAAATTCTGATACATAAATAGAAGTTTAAGTATACGTGTTTGCTCTAAAAAGAACTGCTATTTGTGCATCTTGCATACATACAGAACATACATATACACATACACGCACACATATATACACTGATACGTGTATATGTGTATAGATACATTTACTAAGATACATATATAGAGACGTATGTATGTACGTGTGTATGTACATGAATGCTCAAACATGTATACCTGACCTCCTGAAATTTCCATTTCGTCCGTATATTTACATATGCATGTGTACTGATTTCCGGGAAGCACAGGACTCATTTATGCAGCTACAGCTCCGATGCAAGTTCGTGGTGACTGAAGCAGAAAAGGAGAGAACGTGCTGCTTAGGCAGTATTTTATACACCCAAAGGTGATGATGATGATGATAATAATTATAATAATAATAATATATCAAATGAACTTTGTGCAATTTTTTCCTTTTTCTTCCAGGAAATAGTTGTATAATATGCAAACTACGTCCAGTCTTTGTCCCTGGGGAAGATTTTAAGTCGTGCTGTTGACATTAGGGTAGTTGTAGTAAATTGAATTAATATCATAATGGTAAACCACTGTAAGTCCTGATAATCACATATACGCAAGCTAATCTTACATTACTCTTGATAAACTAAGTAGGGGTTCACTTAAAATGTACTCGTGAATAAGACATTAACTTCTCCAGCTTTTGACAACTGGCTTTTGACATCTAGCATTTTTTGACATTTACTTAGTGTAGCAGAAATCCTTTCTTGTACACGAAGCCCATTCCGTACTCAATTTCTGTTGAAATTGCTGGCCGGGCTCCTTGCTGACCCAGAAAGGGGTGGTTCTTAAAGCAACACAGTTACACTAACACTACTGATCCTACTATCGCTACTCTCTATATCGAACACCCCCAGGTGAAGGAGTAGCACTTCACTCAGACTTACGATGTGCACCTAGCCAGCACAGACGCTTAACAACACAGAAAAAGAGAAACGTTCCAAAAATACCTCAGATGTCTGAATTTGCAGTAGAAAGGAGATCTGTTTGAGTTAGATATTAAAATCCAATATTGAGCACGTTTAAAAGTACCCAAATGTTGTATAGGAAGATGATAACCGTTTACTGCGTCCTTGGACTATTTTCTCTCTTTACAATATAAATAAGCTATCTCTAAATTCCCTCGGAGTGTTTTCAAGAGCTATATTATTTATACTATTCACTACTCACAGGAGTTTACAACATTTTCACACCCTGTTATATCTAAATTCCTTTAAGAACATAAATAGTGTCCTGGTTAAGTGCGATGAGACCACTATCGGTGGTGAGAATTAGAGAAAGTAATGCTTTGGTACTAGGTCTGCTTTGCTCAGTATCTCATACTGATGACGGAAGCCTCCAACCTCACACCTATTTGCCTTCCAAGACCGTGTTAGAATTACATTTTAATCACGCTATATAATCACCAGTCTCTTTTTTCAGGACCAGATACTAATGACTCAACAAAAACATTGCAAAATCTAAATCTGGCTAAATTGTTGTGCTTTTATTTGTACACAAAGAAATCTTTCATTTTCAAGACCGTTCTCATTTGATGTTGAAACAGTTTAGACACAGCTGTTTCCAATCACACTCGTCAAAAGCTGAAGAGATATTAACAGTTAGAATTTTAAGAGATGTTAACAGCTTTAAAAATCCTAAAAATACAGAGGTTTTGTTCTTCAGTATATCTATTAAACATTAAACTATGTATCTGCTGATATACCACATACTATCCTTAAAAATATTTATGCATCATTCCGTATCTAACTAAGAATGCAATATTGTCCTCCCCCCAAAATACCTGGTTTGCTGGCTGCCTAAGACACTCCGTGAGCAGGACACACGCACCCCGCCAAATGGAAGGGGGCAAAGGCAACCGGTGTTCTCGAAGACTTGCCACGCACGTATACTATGTATATGCTACGTATGTGCCTGACCCGGACTTCCATGTTGAAATTTTCCATAGCAAGGTTTTTGGTAGCGGAGAAATTGAGGGACAGTTAGTCCAGCCATCTCCTTTATGCCACTGCTGGAAGGGAGGGCGTGAGGCCACCGTTAACTGGGAAGACCCAAGGAGACTTCTTCAGATCACTGAGGTAGGGAGCACATGAGTGCTCAGGGATGGAACACGCAGAGTGCTGCCCTGGAGCACATCTCATTTCCCTAAAATATGTTATTTCTACAGCCAGGGCAGTATATTCTTTTGTATTTTTGTCAAGGAGTGTGCCATTAAGGTTTAGGTCTGACCCAAGAAAGAAAATTATTAGGATATAACTTCAGATTGTTGTTTCACACAAGAAACTATTTTATCATTATCTCTGTTATTTAAGCTTCTAGAACAAGAATTTCCATTGGTCTACAGCCTTCTGACATTTTTAGCCAGTGATGCCTTCTTGTAGGCTGGCCTCTAGTGTTTCTCTTCTGTCTGCCATCTTAGGAAAAACAGCTTTCTATTAGAAAACACGAATCTATCGCTTAAAAATGCAAAATGAGCAAAGTCCCTTTGACAGGCATGCTATCTGCAGTGGAGATGCCTTTTGAAAACAGCACTGAGTGAAGCATCTACCCTGCGTGAACACATGTGCTGGCAGTGGGGTTTCGCAGGCGTGTGCTGACAGCAGCGGCATGCTCAGATTGAGGAATTTGGTCCATCATTCCCCAGACGGTGCTTCACGTGACACGCATCCACCTGCCTCTTTCTGACTTTGTCTTCCCCTGACTCTTTTTTGCCTTTTTTCTTCTCGGCGCCTCCAGTTCCTCACCACAGCAGCGCCTACAGCAGGGCTTCTCCTCCTGCCTGTTATCTCCGCCGGTCAATCCCGATCTTTGCTTCCATTTCAGTCTCCCCCTCCAGGACTCTTTGTCAGAGCTTCAGAAACATCCCAACGCTGAAGTGCACCCCACCGGCCTGCAAGCACCCAGATGCCCCCAGAGTGGGATGCTAACAAGGGACCAGCGTCCTAGCAAAGTTCATATGCAACAGGCTGACATCCAGAGGGGAAAAACTGGCCCTAGGAGCTGGCAGTTACAAGCAGCTGGAAGGAGGGTCTGATAACAGCAAACATTGAGCAACAAGTAAGTATTTCTAACCGCTGCTGCCACTAAACATCGTAAGAAAGTAATTCATAAACTTCAAGAACTGTAAGAATCGTACAGAAGAATTGCTTTTTTTTTTTTCATTACTATTATTTTAGGACTGCCTCTATTTCTGAAGATATTTACATGAGTAACTTGAAGTATTAGAGCATTCTCACCCAGTAAGGCTATTCACCGGGCTAAAAACACTGTGTAGTTTGGATTGGGCCCCCAGTTTGTCATCCTCTTATCATGACTAATTGAATCTTAGTTGGGGCTTCCAAAACTTAATTACACGCAGCTGGGTTATTTTTTTTTCCTTATCATTCTTTTACTATTTGGAGAAAAATGACTTGATTGTTAAACATTATTAAAAATTGTACTGTAACAAATTTCTCTCCTCCATCAAAAGCTGTGGTTTTATTATCGCTGTAACTGTAGTTAAGTTACAGCTATTCTGGTGGAGAGTAATAAAATTATACTTCTGAACTGCTATTAAAAAAAGCATGAAAGAAATCATGTGCTTAAATTAACTCCTTGGCATAATAAGAATACATCTTTAAGTCTCCAAGAGCACTTAACTTTGCTTTGGGTCTTATTGTTTATTCAGCTAAGACATCCTCACACACTTTCATCCTGTACTGTTGCTTAATTTCAGTTTTGAAAGTTTTCTTTATCTAATCTGGGATTGCATTTCATTTACCTCTGAGCAGTCAAAAACTGTGACTCTTCCATGAAAAGCACTCTGGTTATTTCTTGTGTAATGCCAGTAGTGCCTGGAACTCCAAATAACCACAAGCTTAAATATTTGGATTTTTTTCTATGAAAATTGAAAGCTGAACTGTGAGGAAAAAATGACCAGGACTATGCTTTCAAATTCAATAAATGTGACATTTGTTTAATACATTCCTAGTTCTAAATGCTTTCCCGTATTAAAAGGTCCCTTAAGAAAACCACTTTACAAAAATCTGATTTGTATTACAAATTCAAAAAAGTTTTTTAAAGATGCTTTGAACTTGTCTTTCAAGCCCCAGTCTTTTGGGTGGTTTCACGTAGCTGTCATTCTAACAAAGACAGTC